GTGACGGCGCCGGAGTGCCGTCCAGAGGTCGTCTTTCCGCAGATGGTCCAAGTACTTGTCATTTATTAGCAAGTAATCGTGAGTCATCAACCCTTCATGTTTCAGCCTGGAACATTTGAGGTTGTTGTCTCAAAGGTAGGGAGTCGTAGGCCTTTCATGGCAGAATATTCTTTGTATTTGACCTGGAGACAAATGGCTGGCGTGCTCCAACCGAAGTAAGTAAAACAATACATTCCAAAAGCAAGAATTATTCACTGAGTTACTCATTGTCTTAAACCCTATTGTTGCATGTGTAAATGTGTTTTGGTTTAAAAGATTACTAAGAATTTGTATATTGTTGTTGTGATGCTTTTATGTGTTCAAATAAAAAAAAAAAGAAAATATTTGCGCAAAAGACATCTTGATGAAGAAGGTTTAATAACACAGTCCTGGCTCCTCACCTCCTGCACGCCGTCAGCCAGGAGAAGATGGCAGTCGTATAACGGCGGCGGTTGCCTCCCCAGTCACGTATTCCCTAGAATACTAAAATGTTGCACGCAGAAAAGTGCTTCCCAGAGGCAGCAGACTTTAAAGGACTATTGAAATCCCATGTGGTTTGTCATGCTGGAATGAACTTGGGGGAGAGCAGGGGAAGGGAGTGAGAAGAACGAGCACAGAAGGAGGAAATCATCCGGGACCGACTTCTCCCCTGACTGAGCACACTTCGCCGTCACCCAAATTGAGCTGCTGACTGGTTAGGGCCAATCAGGGGGGCGACTTTAAGTGCTCCGCTGCGGTGGTGGAGCCGGTGGTGCAGTTTCTCCGACTTACAGCCGATGTCAGTGGTCATCAGGGCTTGATAACGTCCTTCCTGGCTGGTGGTATTAAATCACAGCGACCCCTCGGTCGCCGTCCTCCTGTCGTTACTTTGGTGAAAGAACTCCTTTGTTGTCGTCTTTTTGGGACGTCCTTTAACTACGGCCAGGTCACACGTAGGTGTGTGTGTGTGTGTGTGCATTTGGGTGGGGTGTGTGTTAGGTGAGGGGACGTTTGATAAACTGTACAGCTTATATTTATTAATGCAGTGGGGCCCCTAGATACGAGTTTAATCCGTTCCACAACAGCACCCGCAGGTTGATCCACTCACGTCTCCACTGCATTTTCCCCTTAAAAAATAATTAGAAAACAATTAATTTGTTCCAGCCCCCAGAGAAATATATTAATAATTAATTAAATAACACCCCATATCTAAACATCAAAAAGATAAACAAATATATTCATACTATAAAATAATAATAATTAAGAAAACACAACAATAAAATATTATTGTTAGAAAAATGGAGATCGGTTGAGCA